TAGTAGTTGTTCACGATCTTTTGTATTTCTGTGGTGTCAATTTTTACTTCTCCTCTTTCATTTCTGATTTTGTGTTTTTGGGTTCTCTCTCTTTGTTTCTTGGTGACTCTAGCTAAGGGTCCATCAATCTTGTTTATCTTTCAAAAAACCAGGTCTTTGTTTCATTGATCCTTTGAATTGGTTTTTTGGTCTCTGTATTGTTTATTTCTGCTCTGATCTTTACTATTTCCTTCCTTCTACTTGCTCTGGGGTTTTCTTTTTGTTTGCTCTTTAGTTCTGTAAGTTGTGAGGTTAGTCTATTAGAGATTTTTCTTGTTTTTTTTTTTTTTTTTTTTTTTTTGAGGTAGGCCTGTAGTGCTATGAACTTCCTTCTCAGAATTGCTTTCGTTGCATCCCATAGATTTTGTGTTGTGATATGTTCATTTTCATTGGTTTCCAGGAAGTTTTTGATTTCTTCCTTGATCTCCTCCGTGACCCACTCATTGTTTAATAACATGCTATTTAGCTTCCACATGTTCAAATGCCTCCGTATGTTCTTGTTGCATTTGATTTCTAGTTTCATGCCATTGTGATCTGAGAAGATGCTTGATATGATTTCAGTCGTCTTAAACTTGTAGAGACTTAGTTTGTGTCCTGACATGTGGTCTATCTTTGAGAATGTCCCATGTGCACTTGTGAAGAATGTGAATTCTGTAGTTTTGGGGTGTAATTCTCTGTAGATATGTATTAAATTTATTTGGTCTAGTGCTTCATTTAGAGTCTCTGTTTCCTTGCTAATTTTTTGTCTAGAGGACCTATCCATTGATGTCAACGGGGTGTTGAAGTCCCCTGCTATGATTGTATTGCTATTGTTTCTCTTTTGAAGTACTCCAAAAGATTTTTATTATATTTTGGTGCTCCTATATTGGGTGTATATATGTTTATCAAGGTTATATCTTTCTGTTGGATAGAATCTTTCAATATTATGTAGCGGCCTTCTTTGTCTCTAGTTATAGCCTTCATTTTGAAATCTATTTTATCAGATATGAGTATTCCTACCCCAGCTTATTTTTCCTTTCCATTTGTTTGGAATATTTTTTCCATCCCTTCCCTTTTAATCTATGTGAGTTTTTTGTTGTGAGGTGGGTCTCTTGTAAAGAACATATAGATGAGTCTTGCTTTCTTATTCAATCTGCTACTCTGTGTCTATTTATGAGAGCATTCAATCAATTTACATTTAAGGTGATTATTGATATGTACTTATTTATTGCCATTTTTGTTTAGTGTCATTCTATTTTTCTTTCCATTTTTCCTGCTAATTATAGCAGTCCTTTTAACATTTCTTGCAGTGCTGGTTTGGTGCTAATGTATTCCCTTAGCCTTTTTTTTTTTTTTTTTTGTCTGGGAAGCTCTTTATTTGACCTTCTATTTTGAATGATAACCTTGCTGGGTAGAGTAGTCTTGGATTCAGATCCTTGTTTTTTATCACCTTGATTATTTCATGCCATTCTCTTCTGGCCTGTTGTTTTTCTTGTGAGTACTCAGCTGAGAGCCTTATGGGGTTTCCTTCGTAGGTAACCTGTTGCTTATCTCTTGCTGCTTTTAGGATTCTCTCTTTGTCTTTAATTTTTGGCAGTTTGATTACTATGCGTCTTGGTGTGGGCCTGTTTAGGTTCTTCTTACTTGGGGCTCTCTGTGCTTTTTGCACTTGAATGCCTTCTTCCTTCACCAAATTAGGGAAGTTTTCTGTCACTATTTCTTTGAATATGTTCTCTAACCCTTGCTCATTTTCTTCTTCGGGTACTCCTATGATGCGAATATTATTACATTTCCAGTTTTCCCACAGTTCTCTTAAGCTGTCTTCCTGTTTTTTAATTGTTTTTTCCTTTTGGTTTTCTGATTGGTTGATTTTTTCTACCCTGTCTTCTAATTCACTGATCCGGTCCTCAGCTTCCTGTACTCTGCTTTTTAGACCTTCCAATGTGTTTTTCATTTCTGATATGTCATTCTTCATTTATTCTTGGTGGTTTTTACTTTCCAACTGGTTGATTTTCAATATTTCTATGTCTTTACTCATGGTGCTCATGTCCTTAGACATGCTGTTGAGCTTCCTCAAGATCATGGCTCTGAATTCTAGTTCTGTTAACTTGCTTAACTGCACCTCATTTATCTCATCTTTGGTAGAGGTCTCTTGTTTTTTCATTTGGCTTTTGTTTCTGTTTTTCTCCATTTTGGCTATCACAGTGGGCTTTGGAGTCTGCCAAATTTTCCCTGTGGGTGTTGGTGTTCTGCTGTTTGTGGCTCCCTCTCCTGGGTTTGGATGAAGCAGGGAGGACCCACTTTAAACAGCACTGTGAAGTCTTAACTTTCCTGGGTAGAATTGCTAGCCCAGGGAATGGTAGTTATCCTCTAGCTTTTTTGCCTAGAGGCTATTAGTAGTGGTCACCTGAAGAACCTTGGTTTCTGAGTTGACTGAAAAACTCCCTCAGGTGCTCAGTGTAAATGGATTTCCGGAGGGTGGGGCAGATGTTTGTTGCTAATGGTCCTCAATTAGCATTTCAATGGCAACCAGGTGGGGTTGAATATCAGAGGGAGGGGCCACAGCCTCTCCCCAGGGCCCTAGGAAGGATGACCACAGTCCTGCGGCTGCACTCAGTAAAAGCTCTGAGCACCCTCCAAATCTCGAGTGTTCCCACACAGTTCCAGTCCAGTCTGCCTTCCCTCTGCCGGAGCCAAAGGTGAGTGGCTGCTGCCAAATTAGCCTCTGTCCGGACTCTGAGTCCTGGAGCCGCATGGGACTTTTAACCTGAGGGCGCTGCTCCCAGCTAAGGGTGGCTGAGGCTGCAGTACCAGCCAAGGGCATAGCACCCAGCCCAGGTTGTAGGGCCCAGCCGATGGCGCAGCTTCCAGCCTAGCCCCTGGTCCCAGGTGAGTCTGCTGGTCCCAGCCCTGGCTGCTGTGGACCGTGGGCTCCGGGTCCCCTCTCATGTCCTCGCAAGCCTTCCAGGATTGAGTCAGTGTCCCTGGTTATGTGGTCCTCCAAGCTGCCTTTCAGTTGCCCCTTTCTGACGATTTGTTTTTATTTTCATTGTAATTCAAATTTGGTCCTGGGAGATGGTCTGTGTAGCTTCCATTCACCCGGCCGCCCTTTTTCAACTCTACCCTGTTTTCTTATTCACTGATCTGGTCCTCAGCTTCCTCTACTCTGCTGGCTAGTTGTTCCATTGTGTTCTTTATTTCTGCTATGTCATTCTTCATTTCTTCTTGGTGGTTTTTCATTTCCAATTGGTTGATTTTCAACATTTTTATGTCTTTACTCATGATGTTGATGTCCATACTCATGCTGTCGAGCTTTCTCAAGATCATGGCTCTGAATTCTAGCTCTGTTAACTTGCTTGAGTGCTTCTCTTTATCTCATGTTTGGTAGAGGTCTCTTGTTCTTTCATTTGGCATTTGTTTTTTTGTTTCACCATTTTGGCTATTTCAGTGGGCTTTGGAGACTGCCAAATTTTCCCTGTGGTTGTTGGTGTTCTCCTGTTTGTTTCTCCCTCTACTGTGTTTGGGTGAGTGTGGGAGTACCCACTTTAAACACCACTGTAAAATCTTACTTTCTTGGGTAGAGTTGCAAGCTTAGGAATGATTCAGTTATTCTCTAGTGCTTTGTCTGGAGGCTGTCATGGTTACTTGAAGAGCCTTGGGTTCTCAATTGAATGAAAAACTGCCTCAGGTGTTCCATGTAAGGGGATTTCCCAAGGGTGGGCCAGATGCTATGTGAATGAGCCTCAATTTTCATACATTGTCCCACCCAGTGGGGTTGAATCTCTGATGGAGGGTCTACCGCCTCTTCCCAGAGCCTTGGGAATGAGTGAGATGGCCACCGTTTTGTGTGACCACAACTCAGCAAAAGTTCTGAGCATCCTTCAAATCCCGAGTGTCCACACTCTCGGGCTCTCCATGCTGTGGAGCCTCTTAGGACTTTAACCCTGAGGGTGCTGCTCTCACAGCTAAAACTGCTGCTGTCCGTGGGCTCCCAGCTCCCCTCTCGTGCCTCTGCAATCCTACCAGGATCAATTCAGTATCCCTGGTTATATGGTCCTTGTAAGCTGCTTTTCTGTTGCTTTTTTCCAATGATTTGTCTTTATTTTAGTTGTAATTCAGTTTGGTCCTGGGAGATGGTCTGTGTACCTTCCATTTACTCCACTGCCATTTTGGAATCAATCCTGCTGTGTCATTCATGCTGTATGTCTTGATAAAAGATTGAGATAGAGTCAAACAATTTGTCTTGGTGTGTGACTTTAATATTTGAATTAATCATTTATTAGCTAATGTGTTATTGGAGATTTGCATTTTTCTGAGTCAGCCAATGTAATCTAGCTGTTTTATTGCAGTTTAAAGTTGTACTGAAGAGTGCCTTGGACAGCATGTTTTCCAAGTGTTACAGGGCAAGACTCACATTCACAAAACTTGCAGCTGAATGTAATGTTATCCAGTGCTAGTCTTGAAAATGCAACGACTCTGCAAGAAATTGTGGAAAATTTAGAATCACTAAGACTTACATTTCTAAAATGATCTTGGCTTTATAAATTAAACTTCAGTCTGTCTTCCTTCAGTTTTTTGTCACCCCATATTGCCATCCCTAGACTCTATTTAACAATGCCCAAAACCCTTCTTAAGTCCATTTTAATATCTCTACATCTCAGATTTCACTTTTAGTAGTCCAGGGCTATTACATACATTAGAGCAAGAAGAGAATACAGAAGAAAGAAAAAGACTGATCAAAAGGTTAGAAAAATAGGACTTATGAAGTTTAGATTATTTGACTTGGGAGAGAGAAACTGATGAGTGGCTTAAAATTTTTCAAGAATATGAAGGGATATTGTATGGAGACCAGCTGTTTTCCTTGATGCTGAGAAGAGAAGAAAAAGAAAAGGTCTTTAATTTTAGCAGGAGGGAGCCCAGTTGGACATAGGGAAAAGGTTTGTTAAGTATCAAAATGATCACTGTGGAATCTCTTTTTCTAGAGATGTTTGGCAATAATGAAGAAACTGAGGTGGAAGAAATTATTTAGCTAGGTAGAACTTTGCCTAGGAATCAACCAGGTGACCTGTGGAAGTTGTTTGCTGATCCTTGAAGTCTGCACCAAGCCAACCGGGCTTCAGCCCAACAAGGTATGAAAAAGTACAAGTATCATGCCTTTGATTGTTTCAGCAGATGCTGAGCCAGTGTTCACTTTGCCACAGGCTTAGTTTTATTGGTTCTAATTGTTATTTGGTGGGAAGTAGTGATGGGACTAGGGTGGGAAGAAGGTAAAGAGTACAGCCTTGTCACAGGCTAAAACATACATGGCTTCCTTCAGAGAATTCTGAGTGAATAAGGGTAAGGTCTATAAAATGTAAAGGGTCATTTAATTTCTTTTCTTTTTGAAGAAAAAAATACATTTTCCTTTAAAAATATTTAGATTCTGTGTGTTCATTAAAACTCCTTCCTTCAAGCTTTTGAGATAGAACTATATGTCTCTGAAGAAGTGTGTCATTTAGCTCTTATTAATAAACTGTTTAGAATTGTAGGATTTTAGACTTGTGTGGAATATTTTTTTTGCTTTATTTATTTTTCTATCATCATTTATCCCCTCTATGCCCTCTTCCACTTCCACCCACCCTCCTGTTGTCCATTAGTTCTCTCTTTTTTTTTTTCTTTTTTGCTCAATCACTCCTCCCCCCAACTCCCCACCCCTCCACTGAGCTAAGGCCTGCTCTCTATGAGTCTGTTTCTATTTTACTTGGTAGTTCAGTTTATTCATTAAATTCCCCAGAGATGACTTTTCTACCCTTATTAATAATCCCAAAATTATATTGCCATGACAGTAATAAATATATTATTGTAAATATTGGTGCAAGAATTTAAGTAAAATCATGTTTAAAAAAAACTCAGTGTGTTATTTTGTTAAATAAGTTGTTAGTACAATACTTTCTACCGAAGTGAGCTTTTCACTTTTTAAAACTTTTATTTCACCATTTATACATAACCTAAGAGATTTGACAATATTTATTCAGTTTTAAGTACTAATAACTTGAATACTGGCTAATAAAACATTCTTGGTCACTTCAAACGTAATTATTGCAATAGAATCACAGGGAGGGATTGATTCAATACTAATTGCTGATGATGAAAACACTCACACACTAAACCAAATGTAAAACCCTTTGTTCCTGAACAGTTAAGATGAAAGATTATACTACTGCACTTTTTAGCCTAGAGTATTTCTCTTTCAACTATTTTAAGAAGTTTTGAGGTTAAAACTGTGTTTTAAACTTTATTTCTGACATCATTCTACAAAAATGTCATTAAAGAAAATGAAAGTAACATTTTACTGTGCAGCATCAAATTAACGAACATGGTGTATTCTTTCTTTTTTAGTCATTTCCTTTAATGCTCCATTAACAAAGGTTCATAAAGAAGCAACCGCAGCAAGGACGTGCTTTGGCAGACAAGGAGGGGACTTGTGCTCATTCCCTTCCCTGCTATCTAGCTTTGAACTATTAATGTAAAGCCCAGAAACCTGAACTGTTACCTTTTTCTTTCTCAATTGGGGTAATGGACTTCTTCATATTAACCTGGTCAACATACAAAAAATTAGTCGGTCAGTCTGATATTCTTAGGGCTTCCTAAATTTTCTTTGTTCTTGCAATACATTCAGGTATGTAAAACTTGATTTATTCTTAGGAACACCAGCAGACTGCTTGAAGTTGGATTTTTCATCTAAAGAATATAACAAATGGGGAAGTATGGGCAAGAAACCAGAGAGAGTTTGATGCTTCCGGCCCAGGTAACAATGAACAACTCTTTCAGCTTTGCCAGCAATGGCAGCCTGAAGCATGGGTTCTGTCAGTAAGACTGTATGTGCCCTCTCTCCAATCAGAAAGGTCATATATGATGGAATATTTTCTCATCTTTTAAAAATCTACTGGCAGGTTATCCTGATTCCTTGAAACAATTTTTGAAAGGAGCAAAGTTAGAATGTTTGATGCAGCTTCTGCATCTATGATAGAGTTTTACACATGTGCACACACACACTTCTTCTTAAGATTTCTATGTGGCCAAGAGAGCTGGCTGTTCAGAACTCAAAGCTGCCTGACAAAAGACACCAGACTGTTTTGTTTGTTCTATTTGACTTAACCAAATGTCTTCAAGTTTCGTTTTCAGTTTTTATCATAAAAACTGTGAATGCAAGGTTTGATTCTATCTTAAAGACAAAATTTCATAAATTTGATGTTTTATGATGTGTACATAGTACAAGGCATAAAAACTAAAGTAACCCAGCAAGAATAAACAACAACATGACAAAAACTAAAAATATATTCAAAATTGAATACTCAGTACCCTTTCACAATAGAAACCCAGACTTTTAAAGAATTGCTCCATACATTTAACATGAGAAATGTTTGAACATTAGTTCCTAACAGTAAAAAGATCTGATGTGGTTATATGTTTCTGTCCTCTTATTATTCATATACTGTATTGAGACTCATTAGTATCATGGGAGAATTTCTAGCATGAGTTCTGGTATATCATTCTGTGTCACAGTTTCTCTGTGTCTTTATGATTCATATCCTGTTGATTCTACTCATTATGGCAGAAAAAGGAATTAATTTGGATGATGATTATGTTATTGATATGCACTTGATACTTTATCTAAGACAATCATAAATCAGATAAAACCCAGTGCATTTTAACTTTTTAACCAAGCTATGCATTCCCCACCTGCTCAGACTAAAAACTGTCTACTAGGATTAAAGGAATGGAAAAGTTCATGGGAAAACATTTTTAAAGGAAAAAACAGTGATATGTAGAGTTAAAAGCAACATTATAAACTGTTAAAGCACCAAGATTTCAATGCAAATAAACATCCAAGTTATATAAAAGCCCTGTGTATAATATGTTTATTATTATTAGTTTTTAGGCTTTGCTGTCTTTGGGGACTTTGTTGGCTTGGATTTCCAGTTTACTAGAGTACGTTCAGCTGCAGTGTGCACTTGAGTTCTATGAAATTGTTATTCTTCATCCCTATTTACCTCATCCTTGTGGGCAAGCATCTGCTTTTGTGTCTTACTTTTTAGAAGTGCAGCTGGATTTCTGGAATCCTGCGGCTGTCTGGTATTTTCTTCCGCACATTAATATGATTAGATTGTACCAATGGTTCTCTTTTCATCTCTTCAGAGTGAATATACCCTTAATATTTTTAGATTATAAAAATGACATAGCTTTGTTGTAAAAATATTTAAACAGTATAGAAAAGTATAGAGATTAACAACAAAAACGTCCCAGAGATAACCACTTAAATATATAACACATTGGTGATCCTCCTTATAGATGTCTCTCAATGTGTGTGTGTGTGTGTGTGTGTGTGTGTATTCACATATAAATATATATGAATAAATACGCATTTTTACATAAATGAGATAATACTATATGAACTGGCTTGTACTCTATTTTTGTACTAATAACTAGAGATCTACATAATTATTTTAATGGATGCACTATGTATATTATGTATAGAATAATGCCTGGCACTCAGTAGGCCCTCAACCAATAGCTGATGAATGAATGAGCAATGACTTATTTAACTAATCTTCTATTTATGGACATGATTTATTTTCATTTTTTTTACTATTGTAAATTACACTGCAGTGAATATCCTTTTGCATCTTCTTTGTTCACATGTACAACGATCTGTTTAAAGAAACTTCTTAGAAGTGGAATTTCTGGGTCATAGGTACAAAAATTTAACAGTTTGACAGTGATAAACTTGCTGAGTTGCTAAACTTATGCTCAGGTTGTACCAGTTTATGCTTATCATCAACAATATACAAAGATATCTGTTCCACACATTCTCTTCTCACTCTCATTGTTGTCAGTCTTTTAGAATTTGCCATTCTGATAGAAAACAAAAAACAAAAAACAGTGTACTGGTTTTATTTGCATTGTTTACATTACAAACAAAGCTAAATATCTCTCCGCATGTTTATTGGCCATTATGCATTACTTGTTCTTTGTCCAGTGGTTTTCTCTTAAACACCAGAGACCTGTTTTGTCCTGCTGAAGTCATTTAATTTTATAATCCCATAAATATCCCAAACGGGTGACAAAATACTTCTTTTAGTTGGGTAGATTGATAAGTGAATATGTGGAGTCATACATCTCACTTGTCAGAGGTAGCAAAGAAGAGAATTTGGAGATTTTACCTCTTAGTGTAGTTTCTTTTTGTCTGAGGACCACTACTAAAGTTTAAAGAGATTTGTTAAAGAGGCAACTGTTGTTTGGAGCACAGATTAGGTTGTCCAATATCTGGATTCCAAAAAATGGGGAAAATTAATTATTCATTTGTATTAAAGTGACACTTGACTACCAGCTACTGAATACATTGCTCACTTTTCTTCTGTTTGTTTCAGCTTCATCGTGTTGTGTTTGTGTGTGCACGTGTGTGTGTGTGTGTATTTAACCAGAAAGTTATTCCTAACCTCTCATTTAGTGTTGAGACCATCACTTATTTAGTGAGGACACTTTATTTTTCAGACCCAAGATGCTGCTGGATTCCCAATATGAATAAACCACATGGGTTTTAGTACCCTTCCATAAACTGATAATAAAATGCTTATTATTAAAAATAGTTATATCCAGTGGCATTAATTTAAATTCTTCATTTCCAGGTCAAAATGCCAGAAAATGAAATTCAGTTCCTTGATAACAATGAAGTGAACAGGCTTCTAGTGGAGAGATTCTGTGGCTTCTGTGACACGCCCCTTTCCTTTCTCCTTCTCCAGCCCTCTTTTCCACTTGGCAATGCAAGTCACCTTCTCAGCCCTCTGGCCTCATTAGTGAGTATTTGTGGGGTTAGAGTGATAAGGATTCTAAAGTAAAGAGTGCCTTGTTTCAATTCAAATAGTTGGATTAGGCACAGAGATACTTAATCCACTTACAAATTATAGAATCCTCTAGCAAGCTTCTTTGTGTTCATCAGAGTATTTTGTACTTATTTCGAGGGAAGAAAGAACAAGTGAATGCAAACCATACAGAAATTGTCCAGTTAACAATTCTAATTTTGTTGATTCTAAATTGTGTAAGCATTTGGATACTTGAGAATTTTTATTTTTATATATTTTAAATTGTGGTTAAAATATACATAACATACAATTTACCATTTTAACTTTTTTTAAGTGTGTAGGTCAGTGGCATTAAGTACATTTACATTGTGCAGTCCTCACTACCATCCAACTCCTGAACTCTTTTCATCTTGCAAAACTGAAACTCCATACTCCTTAAACAATAAGTCCCCCTTCCTCCCTCTCCCAAGTCTCTGGAAACCACCATTTCACTTTATGTAAAGACTATTATTTGAGGGATATTATATTTATCTCTTTTTTTAAAAAAATAAGGTAGAAATCTATCTATAAGGAATAGTTTTAGGTACATTCTTGTCTGGATGGTCCTATAATTTTTTATCTTTCTGGAATACATTTTGGGTTATTTCTGCCCAATGGGATAGAACTTAATAAAAATACTTCATGAGTACTGGAGGTTCTTGCTCCTCTTATTCCACTAACTTTTTGAAGCCATAAGAATATCTTATTAGGGATTATGCAAAATAACCTCCTACAAATTCTGATATTATTATACTGCCCCCAAAACTTCAAAGCATGAGGAAAGTTTTTTTTTTTTTTTAAACCAGATTCAGCTGGCTGTCCCATTTGGCTACAGGGTACTAAAGAAGAGACTGAACTTGATCCTACTGCCCTTGCATACACAACACTTCCATTGACTCTAGAGAAGAGTTAAGTGCATGAAAAGATTCCAGGATCAAAAGGTTAGCTCTGTGGGGAGCTGTGTCTGGCTCAAGCAATCCATTATTTTCTCTATTGACAGTGAAAACATTTTATAGTCCTTTTTCAAACTTTTATAAAAACAGGCTATTTGTGAAAAAGTGAGAAGTCATCTAATTGAATGACACCCAGAGGAGATCATAGAAGAGACCAACAGGGAGAAAAACATTTCTAAATCATAGTGATATTGCTCAAATCATTTGTATTTTAAAAATAAAGAATTTGAGGCCCCAGCTTATGGAGATGTTCGTTATGAAACCTGCTTGGGCTATGAAGCAGAATGTAAGATAAACTAAAGCAGGAATCTCATGAGTTTTTTTAAGTACTCACCCAAGGATATTTTTCCATTCATCTTCAGATAGAGTAGGAGGGAGAGAGAGAGAGAAACATTGATTTACATCGACTAGTTGCCTTCTGCAAGTTCCTGACCAGGGCTGGGGATTTAACTGCAACTGAGGTACGTGCCCTTGACTGGAATCAAACCTGCAGCTCTTCAGTCTGAGGACCAACACTCTAACTGCTGAACCAAACCGGCCAGGGCAGAAGCTCATGACTTATTTCCTTGACTGGTAATAACACTGACAGGATTGTACTACCTTTGTGTTTTATGAAACCTATGAAATAGGAAAAATTATGCTATATCTAAATGGTATAGATGTGCAGGTGCTTAGCCAACATTTAATTCACTACTGGAAAAATAAAGGCCTTAAAACAGCAGTTCTCATCCTGTGGGTCACGACCACTTTGGGGTTTGAACGACCCTTTCACAGGGGTCGCCTAAGACCGTTGGAAAACACATATTTCCGAGGGCGATTCATAACAGTAACAAAGTACAGTTATGAAGTAGCAACAAAATTAATTTTATGGTTGGGGGTCACCACAACATGAGGAACTATATTAAAGGGTCACAGCATTAGGAAGGTCGAGAACCACTGCCTTAAAACATTTCAAAAAGAGAAATTACCTTAAGGAGAGTAATTAACAAGCAGAGTAGTAACAGCAGTTTTGAAGAAAGTGAGATATGGTTCCATATGTTATGGTTCTAAGTTTTCGACATTTATTGGACCTCCTTAGTATATCTTAGTATATTCATTCAGTCATTGAACACTTTTTTGTGTGCATTTACTATATGCCCAATGTTAATCTGATAGTTTTCCAAAACCTCAAGTGAATAAGTATATAAGGTAGTGGATTACATTTAATAAAACAGGACCAACGACTAGGGGTTGGGGGATGTGTGTCTCAAGCATTTCCCATTCTTAAATCACTCTTCAGTAGTAAATTTGCCTTAATAATTTTCTCTAGCTTTACATGAAATGCACAAATTTTGATTGGCAAGTGACTTCTGTGATCTTCTTCCCAGGAATAGCTATTGTAATGTTTATCCTAATATACAGGATTTTTTAGCATGTTTTATAAACAGAAAACGGATTTAATGTCATTAGAGTCTTGATCTTAAGCATACTCTATTGTATGAGCAATGGAAAGGTTTGGTGAGGAACTTGTCTAAATAGTTCTCTTGCATTTTCACATAATTGAGCTTGACAGTTTTCTGCCATTGCATAGGATAACAGCAGTTGATGGTGTTCATGTTTTTACATAAGGGCCATTGAATTGTATTAGAAACTTTATACTATGTTCTTGTAATCCTCTAAGTCATTTTTGAGTTGCATGATTGAAAATGAATAACAATATACCACAAGACAAAAATTACTCAAGCAGTTAAAGCTTAGAGTGTGTATAGTTTTAGAAACAACCAATCCACAGAGAATAGGGCTCATGAAAGAAATAAAAATACACACTCACCCCCACCCACTTTTTGTTGTCTAGCCTATTCCGATCTGGTGAGAACATTAAGCCACTTAACCTAAATGGTACTGGATAGATAATTTATTTAGCTTCTGGAAGGTCCCAGGTTCATACTTACAGAGATAGGATTAAAAATTTTTGTGTGGGTATGGAGGAGAAAGGTACTAGCAATCTCTTCCAGTTACATGTGCCTAAATGCCTGCAGAAATCTTTTTTCAACTATATTAGCTTTTCTTGGGAATTTTAAGGTGTTTTATGGTTTTATGCAGTGGTTAAATGGGCTTGTTGAAATGGATCCAGGAAAGACCCAGGGAAGTGACAGATTGAAAAAGAGTTGTTGCCCAGACGGTGTAGCTCAGTGGATTGAACATCATCCTGTGGACTGAGAGGTTCCAGTTGGATTTCTGGTCAGGGCACATGCTGGGGTTTCAGGCTTGATCCTCAGTAAGGGGAATGCAAGAGGCAGCCAATCGATGTTTCTCTCTCACACTGATGTTTATATCTCTCTCCCTTCCTCTTAAAAAAAAGAAAAATCAGACTTCCGGTCAAGATGGCGGCATAGGTAAACGCGGTATTGTGTCCTCCCACAACCACATCAAAGTTACAACTAAACTACAGAACAACCATCATTCAAAAAAGCCTGAAATCAAGCTGAATGGAAGTCCTACAACTACGGAATTAAAGCAGCAGTCACATCCAGACTGGTAGGAGGGGCGGCAGCAGCGCAACTGGCTGGTCCCACACCCAAGCCTGGTGGATAAAAATCAGGAGGCTCCCGCGGCTGGGAAGGTCCTTCCTGAGGACTGAGGGGTCCTCGTCCCACACCAGATGCCCTACTCAGGGTTCCAGTGCCAGGAAGAGAAGTCCCCATAACTTCTGGCTGGAAAAACCAACGGGAACTGAGGCTCAGGGAAGCTGGCGGCTGGAGCCCCAGGCAGCTCCCTAAGGGGCCCGCACATGGACTGATCGGACTCTCTCCCTTTAAGCCTGGAAGGGAGGCAGCTCGAGGGGCACCAGAGACATACAGGGAAGAACTGAGCTGTTTGGCACTGGAGCAAGGGCTGGAGAGGGGGCTTTCTCCTGGACAAATGTGCTGTCAGAGGCCTTTGTTCCTTTGGTGAGCCCTTCCCTGGGGCGGCAGACAGCCGCCATATCTGGGACTCTAGGAACCTGGCTCACACTGGTAGCCCCAACCTGGTTAACCCCTGAGGCCCTGCCCCGTCCCACCCCACCCCACCCCACCCCACCCCACCCCACCCCACCCCACCCCACCCAACTTTCAAGCCCACCCAAGCTGTTGCCACTTGCTTAACCATAGGATTGGCCTGTCTTGGATCCTGCTTCAGGTTTTTCCTAAATTCTTTCAAATGAGCAGCATCTGGTCTAAGCGAGCCCCATAACTCTAAGTAATACACTGAAACAGACACAGGGAGGCAACCAAAATGAGGAGACAAAGAAACAGGTCCCAAATGAAAAAACAGAACAAAACCCCAAGAAAAGAACTAAGCGAAGTGGAGATAAGCAACCTAACAGATACTGAGTTCAAAATACTGTTTATAAGGATGCTCAGTGAACTTAGTGAGAACCTCAGTGAACTTAGGGAGGGCCTCAAGAGCATAAAAAAGGACCAATTAGAAATCATGGATGCACAGTTAGAATTGAAGGAGGCATTAACTGAAATAAAGAATAATTTACACAGCTTCAATAACAGAGTACATAAATCCAAGGAGCAAACCATCGATTTGGAATATAAGGAAGCAAAAAATGCCCAATCAGAACAGCAAAAAAAAAGGAATCCAAAAAAATGAGGATAGTGTAAGGAGCCTCTGGGACAACTTCAAGCGTGCCAAAATTCGTATCTTGGGGGTACCAGAAGGAGAAGAGCAAGAACAAGAAATCGAAAACCTGTTTGAAACAATAATGGCAGAAAACTTTCCTAACTTGGTGAAGGAAACAGACATACAAGTCCAGGAAGCACAGAGAGTCCCAAACAAGATGAACCCCAAGAGGCCCACAGCAAGACACATCATCGTCAAAATGCAAAAGGTTCAAGACAAAGAGAGAATCTTAAAAGCAGCAAGAGAAAGGCAGCTAGTTATCTACAGGGGAATTCCCATTAGGCTGTCCGCTGATTTCTCAAAAGAAACTTTGCAGGCCAGAAGGGAGTGGCAAGAAATATTCAGAGTGAT